TGCATTTATTTATTTGTTTGTTTATTTATTCATTTATTTATTTGGTTTTTGAGACAGGGTTTCTCTGTGGCTTTGGAGGTGTTCCTGCAACTAGCTCTTGTAGCCCAGGCTGGTCTCCAACTCAGAGATCCACCTGCCTCTGCCTCCTGAGTGCTGGGATTAAAGGTGTGTGCTCCTTGATGCATTTATAATTCACATTTTTCAGTCTGCCTCCAACCCTACCATACCTCTATTAAAGCATGCTATGCCATTATAATTCCATTTAATTGTACTGACATCTTATTTTTAAAAACTATCAAAATTAATAACAACATTAAGAACTAAACACTTTGATTCCAATAGGAGGCACAGAAGAAAAGTTTAGAACTAAGTTCTTTTCAGAAGTAGATCTAGAAGAAAAAAGTCCCTGACAAGTGTATAGGTGGAAATATTAGAAAGGAAAACAGCTCACGGGGAAGGAGAGTTCCACCAATTGTTTTTAAGTTCTTAAACTTCTGTTCTAGAGAGAGAGCAGCAGGGGCCTTCTACTTCAACCTTTTGATTTTGCAACTGACAAAACCAAAGCCCTCAAGAAGTAAAAATCACAAGAAGACCTACACCCTTCCAATTTCTCACAGGCCCTAACTTCGTGCCCCATAAAAGGTGCAGCAATATGAAAATCAAGAAATATCTTCCTCTTCCTGTTCGATGAATGAAAGAAGGCAAGTTCCTAATGACGCTGTCATTGTTAACAAGAAGAAAGAATTTTTATATGGTATTATAAATACTTTAAATATAATTATATCAGTTGTTAGCATGATTTTTTTAATTTTCCAGAAATTAATAACTACTAGCATAATCTTTTAACTCTAGTATATTATGTGTTAAATTAGCTTCCGGTAGGCTGTGTTTAATCACTAAGCCTACTGTTTCTAAGAAAGTCTGAGATGATTAACCTTCATTGGAAACTTCGCTAGATGTAGAATCACCCAGTACACAAAGGTCTGGAGGGTTCCAGAGATGGATAATTGAGACCCACCCTGAATGTTGGTGACTCCATTCCATGTGCTTAGATCCTGGCTGAATAAAACAGAAAAACTAAGTGCAGACCAGCATGTCTCTCCCTCTCATTCCTATGGTCAGCTGCCTCTGTCTTGCCACCATGTTGCCATGCTGCCTCTACCCCAACCCCTTGCCCGCCACCTTGAGGGATATCCCTTCAAACCCTAAACAAAAGGAATTTTTCCTCTTTTAAGCTTTTTTCCCTATTTTTTTATTGTATCTCAGCAATGAGAAGAGAACTACTACAAAGTTCTACAGCATGTTATAATTTTAAAATGTAGTAAAAAGTTAAGACTACCAACTCATGAAAATTCAAGATTCAAAATCAAGAGCAGGAAGATTAGCTCAGCAGTGAAATGCCTGGCACACATAAGGTCCTGGATTTTTATCCCCAGCACTGAGCAAAAAAGAAGATGGAAAAAAGGAAGAAGAGAGAAAACTATAAAATTATAATCTGCATGGAATAAGTAAAAACACATAATTCTTAATTTTATGACATTCTATCTTGAGGCCATATATTTTTAAAACCTGTTACATAAACAAGCACAATACTTCAATATGTACATCTTTTTTATTAAGATCTCACTGGAAAACTGAAGTCACAAAGATAATTTCAGAAACGAAAGTGTTAATGTACGTTTTCAGGAAGTGCACTGCAAGAAGATCATTAATATCCTTTCACGTAAGATGCCAAGGTCTACATCATTCTGTATCTAGTGCTAGCGCAATAGTATGCAGTAAGAAGACTATGAACAGAGGTTACAAAACAGGTCCAAACAGAGCTTTCTCTTTAGAGATGAACTGCTTTATTAAATAAATATTTGCTAAATCTTGTATTTGGTGGCTACTCTGAACACAGATGAACCCTCTGCTATTTGTTAAGCGCAATGCTACTTTGGATTTATGACAGGAAGCCGCAGCTCAAGAAAAAAAGAAAAAAAACAGACATTTTCTTTACCCCAATTAAAAACAAAACAAAATTTTAGCTCTTTATATTTAAGAAAACATGATAAAATGTAATCAAAATAATTTTCAAAAAAAGCTATATAATGAATTGTAAACACACTTGTAGAGACTTTCATCTATATGACTTCCTCCCACAAAGTAACCAAAAGTCTAAATTTAAGTAAAGACTGTAAGGATATAGTCTTTCAATAGTAGTTTTTGCTGTGAAAAGGAAGGGATTAATCTTTCAACAAGGAAACCACATATATCCTCTACTGTTAACATGAAGGTTAAGCCTTTGGAAAAGATATCTTAAAATATTCTTAAAATTAAACAAAAACTATAGTATTATACTACAGTAATGCACCATCTCTCAATACATGGGCATTTATGAACCCTAGTGATAAAGCTGACCTATCTTTCAAGTGATCACAGTTATAAATTCCATTAGCCAAAAATTTTAAACCAAAAGACCTTCAATATTTTCTAGACTCTTCATGAATTTAATTCAGTATTCTACTTGTTACCAGTCATTTTATCAGTGTATCTGTAATTATTGTATGTATGCATGAAGCCTAAATTAAAAACCACTAGCAACATCAAATGTAAACCAGCCATTTTTGAGTGCCATGGAAAAACATACTGAAGCATTTTCATGATTCAGCAATTAAAGTACTTAAAATTAGTTAAAAAATACTATGAAACTATCTTCTCTGAAATAATGCCTAATATCTTGTGAAAAATGACTCTACACCAACAATTTATATGTATGCCACTCACAAGTGCCATTAAACTATTAATGCACCTTCAAACTCTTGCATTGCCTGTGTGTAACCCTGTTTTTATCAAAACAAACTTAAACACAAAAAGATGGGAAGGATGACAAAAAGGGAAAAAAAGATGTTTCTGGTAGTTAACAATTTGTTTCTAAATAATACCACTTAAGTTGTAAGTAACTAATGTTTGTTTCTTATGTTTTCAAAATCATATTTCATCCTTAAAGTAGAGTATGCAAAACTGGATCTACTCATCCACAATAAAAGTCAGAAAAGAATAAGGGAAAAAACTGCAACAGTAATAAAATATACTGTAAAATTAGCTAAGTGAGAAGTAAAATCCAAGTAAGTTAAGGATTAAGATCCCCCTTAAAAATTAAATTCTTCCTTTCGTTCAAATAAAGGCTATGATTAGTAATCAAATTTCACAAATACGAAATACAAAACTTTCATTATTCAAAACAAAAAATGTGTATTAACTACTTTATTAAAATATTCAAAATAAAAATGATTTCCAGCAGAAACTTGGATCATCAGGGATAAACTGTTCCTTCGAGTTCCAACTGGGATTGCATTTGTTAATTGTGTTACGCCGATATCAGCAATTAGAAAAGTTAAAGTTTACCAAATTAAATTTATAAACATCAATGGACTAAACAACTATTGAAAATTAATCACAACGATTACTGAACAGAAACAAGACTTCGCTAATTTGTGAACATCAAGAAAAAGATGTAATTAGAGCCTCAGGCACATTTCGTATAGTCAAGGATAAGGTCAGAATGAGTAGTATTCAAATACCTATTCTAGCTAGGTATTAATCAATTAGTCGGTCACAGGGCAGATCGTGAATGTTCGGATCGGATGAGCTCTCTTTTCACCATTATTCTAGTTCATCATCCGCAAGTGCAAGAGAAGGTGTCGGAGTACGGAAGCTAGGGGGCATGCTGTAGCTAGGGGAAAAGAAAAATGGGAAAGGTGCAATGGATGCTGCATAGTTGAATAATTATCTGGGTGGCACAATGGGCGAGTCCTGCCGACATCAGAGCCCGGCGAGCATCTCCCTAACTCTGCCCGAGGAACCTCCCGATTCCCAGGCATCAGAAGAGACGGCAACCGCTTCTCTTCCACACGGGAAAATAAAGGGATACCCGCACTCGCTTTACCGCTTTACCGCTGTCGTGCACGGGGAGCCGCGGCGCGAAGACGCGCGGCCAGAGCTCGCTTTTCAGAGCGGCAGGCACACAGGGCGAG